TAGGAGCTGAATAAAAATCAGATTTAGATTAGTATTTATCCTTATGGATAAACTATCTTATTATAATTGAATGGCAACTTGCCTACTTAACTAATCGTATTAGTAATGGGCCTTAGGTCCATTTTCTTTAATGGGTCACTTTCCTATGCATTGTAAGGCCATGTAGGTCTAAACACTATATGGCATGAGACCCACAATGGTTTCAATAAGTCCATTATCATTCGATCCCACCTCTGGAAGAGGGTAGGCTGAATTCATTGCTTAAGAGTAGTGAATCCCTGACCTAATCAGCTTGGGCTTAGTTGGGCCCAACATTTACATGTAAATGATCGTTGGATTCGATGGGAATGGACTTATCTAAGATGAAGCCCATTGATTATTCAGCCCTATAATAGTCTCTTATACCTAACTTTTTGACCCATAATCATCAAAATCTCATAGGGAAGAGGTCCTTCCTTGATTGTAAAATGCAATGTCACACTTTCTACTTGGATGAATCCCATGATTAAAACTTTTTTCAAACCTTTTTTCATAAATAGTAATATAACATATAAATATATTTTGCAAATCAAATTTCAAATATAATTGAAAGTCTATTGCTAGTAACTTATGCTTCCATCAGAGAGTGTAAATCCTAATATTCACTTCGTCTGACAAATAAGTCGATCTTATCACTATGATTATCCACTTAAGTAATTTCCTAAACTACCCCAACATGCCCAAATATTTGACCCTTGATGGATCTTACTAGTTGGCATATCAAAGACAATTCAGTCCAAACCTAGTACAATATCATAATTAATTTTGGGGTCAAGTGTAACTCTCTAGTTTTGTCCATATATCTCAAAGGTTTAGGGCATAATTGGAAATTTGTCCAAGTTTAGTAGTTCTTCTAAACATCCATTGGTTGTGCTTAGGATCTAACCCTAGTAATTAAGACAAGTTGTTTCACCAATTCGGTAGCAACTAGTGTTAGACTTGTCAAGATAAACTCCCTAAGTCTACCCAATGGCTAAGAACATTTTAAACTAACACGAGTCCTATAAGTGTCTAGTTTAAGGAGTAATTCACAGAAATATATATACCAAATGTGATCATGAAACAATAATGCACTTAAATTATTTATAAATTTTTGTGTACATTAATCTAATTGGAGCTCAGGGCATACATTGTCTAACACTGTCCAGTAGAAAAATTTGCATTTTCCATTATGATTGGCTTAGTTTTCATTCGACCGATTTGCCTTCATGTGTTTCAATACAAGTATTTACATTTAATAAACTTTTAAACAAGACATACTTGGAGTTTACTAGGGAAATTATAAAATATCTTATGGGGGTTAGGAGTTTCAGATATTCAAATGATGCATTTTTGTTTTACAATAATAATAATTCGTTTTGTAGTTCAAACTGCCAGGGAAAGGATTTCCACCGGCCAATTGGGTACTCATACTAGTTGAAGAACATATCAACATTTCAATAAATTCAATTAAAACACAACTACCTCATCTGTTCATGTCAACAAGGATATGTCTATATTCTAACAAAGTATATGCAACAATTTTCCAACCAAAGGATAGGCATTTTAGGGTATCATGGATTAATGATATTAAAATGTATGGGAAATTAGCATAGACACTCTTAAATAAAGCTAAGAATGTATAATTGAATATGGGCTATTTTTAAACCACTATATACAATCAACATTTTCACTACCTGTTACATGGCAACTATTTACCACACATCTAATGAGAATAGAAAATAAAAACCTCACAACTCACCACCAGTCAACCAAATTGGACATCCCCTACCATGCCATTTACTTCATGGCTTCCAATCACTCCCTAATAATTGGATCTTTTATTTATGTTGTTTAATGTTGTCTTGCCTTCGTATGTTAACAAATTAGATTTTTTTTCCTAGGATTTTCAAGCAAAGCACTAAGAGCAGGCCCAAACTAGAACTAGTGGAAAGTGTTTTTAATTAGTTATCTCCTTTGGCCATTCTATGCTCTCCATGACAAATCTTGCAACCATTATCGTTCAGGTTATGGTTGAGCTGGCTCCGGATGCCACGTGTCGCTTACATGACCACCTTATCTCTTCGGCCACATCAGTGCCGCGTCACCTCCTCCTACCTTCTACTGTAAATGTATATGGATTCCAAACCATTTAGAGTAATTGTCGAATACAATATTACATTCTTATTTGAAAATCGACATGGCAGAAAAAAGGAATTGGATTCACAGAAACCATAGTCTACCTACTCGATGAACATAAAATCAAAATAGGGAGACATCAAACTTTATTGAAAATATGACCTCGAGTGTGTCCATACACCCATATTTGCTTTCAAGACATTTAACACAACAAATGGTAAACTTCATGCATTCTTTTTTCACTAAAAGTAAAAACACATGAAAAAAATAACAGACAAGTACGGATTTGCCCAATGCAGATTTCTGATTTCCACTGCAGAGTTATAAGCCTTCAAAAGGTCAATAACCCACATTCTATGGACCAACACCCGCCCATGAATTGACATCAATTCCGAGCTTGCACCTACCCCCCAACAGTACTTTGAGCCTACAAATTCTGACCCTGAGCTGATCGGTCATTCTCCCAAAAAATAATCCTAGGATGCATCCAATAAGAAAATATACAACCAAGAAGAACACACACCTGTATCAAAATCACAATTAACTGGGATGGGATGATAAGAACATCATTGAGGGTTTCAATTTTGGAAACCCTCATTCATGGTGATTCCTAATTTGATTTTGATTGGTAATTCCTCATAATTTGGTGTTACAATCATTTGTTAATCATCAAATTCTCTTTGAAGCAGATCTATTTGCAAATGTCAATATTATATTCACTAAACCTTGGGATAATTTTTTTGGCCTTTGAGAGTAACCTGAATGAATTTTTTGTCATTTCTCTTGTGTTGTTTTATTGAATTCAGGATATGCATGAGCAATATTGTTGGAAAATCATGCATAGTAGGAGATAGTCCCAAAATAGGCTTTATAATATTTATTGAATAAATCATCTTTTCACAGTTAGATAGCCAACATCCCATTTTGAAACGGTTTTAAGGCACTTTTTATATTATCTTTTGTTGAACAACTTTTAAAATTTTATCTTTATAAATAAAATTCTCTCTAATAAGTTTTAGCATAGCATAGTACCATGCTTTTAAAATTTAAAAATTCAGCCCAGATTCATTTTCATAAATATACAATTTCAATTTCACTTCACAAGGGGTTTAGAATTCATCATTTTAACCTACCATTTCAAGCACAAATCAGTAAAATTTTATTTTCAAGCAGGGAGTTATTCTTCATTACACTTTCACTCATTTTCTCAAATCAACAAAACACATCCAAATAGTATCATCAATTCGCCTTACTGTTTCAGCAAATTAAACATTTTTCTTTCAATAACAAACTTCAATGTTTCACCAAATAACATATTCAACAGTAAATTTCCATGATACGTTCATTTCTACAATAATACTTACTTTCAAAAGCTTTCATCAAGCATAGTAGCTCTATTACTCCTCCACGGCATTACATAGGACTCCGTTGTTACTCCAGCCCTGCCCAAGGGCATTACCCCTCTGTGACCTTACATATCTTACAAAGACACCAAGCTACCAAAAGACCCACTAACTCCAAGGGGTTGCGGTTTGACGGTAATCCTTTGGGCATTGTTTATCAAAAGGCACCAAGCTTCTAAATGTCAGTAACTCCAAGGGGCTCTGGCTCGACGGTAATCCTTTGAACACCGTTTACAAAGACACCAAGCTGTCAAAATTAAGAACCAATAACTTGGCCTTTGTGTCTCATAGCATTAGCAATTTCACAAAACCTTAAAAAACTCAGGATGACAACTATCATACCAATATATTACACATAGACTACCTGCATATTCAAAACTTTTGGACTTCTCTCTCCCTCTCTGCTTCTATGCAGCCATCCGTTACTTTTCATGTCATTGTCGGAATTCCTACTCCAATTAATGAACTACAACAGCTCAATCCCTCTCCCTCGTCGGAGGGTATATAGGCAGCCCCTCCGGGGTCTGACCACTTCTCCCTCCCTCCCTTTCTTTCCCCTTTTCTCTTCTACAACTTGAACCAACTCTCCTCATATTTCAGAATCAGACCACCATCACATCCACTGGTCTTATACCGAGAAGTCGTCGTCATACACTACGACGAGGTGAGGTGAGATATGGATAGGTCTTGAACGACCTTCACCACAGCAATGCTTTAGAAAGATTTTGAACAACTGGAAAATAGGTGAGGAAGCAACTGAAGCTTCCTTATGCTTCGAATAAGCTAGGCAATAGCGGTGATAATGGCTGGAACTATGGAAGTACGGAGTGAGGAGAAGAAACTTGTTCTTTGGGATTGCATAGAACAAAAGGAAGGCCAGTGGAACGTTGGGTTTGGATTTGAATGGAAGAGGAGCTTGTCAGCTTGGTTGGGGAGATTTATTTGAAAGGGGCAAAAGACTTTGGCTGATGTGTCGAGGGGCGTCTACCTGATGAAACTCAAACAAATTAAAATCTATTAGTGCAATCGATTCATAATGCCACACAGCACATCCCAATCGTGCATTTAAGAATGACTGATCAACCCAGTTCAGAGACCGTATATGAATTGATGTTAAATTCATGGGCAAGATGCGGTTTGTAAGAAGGCTACTAGTATTACCATGGGGGCTGTAATTTGAGAATTCTGCATTCATTGGACTGCAGCCCTATCTTCCGATGACAGTCACGGGAGATAATGAGACATCAAAAGAGATGTTTCCAATGCACGGTTGGTTGGAAAGTGTTGTGGGGCGCTGATGTTTTGGCCAACATGAGAAAGTACACAGTACACTGAGACTTAAGTGATGGTGATGTCCAATTTGGCCATTTTGATATGGGAGTTTTCTCCCTCCAATTATTCCCATTTTTGTCAATAATACAAAACAATTCCTCCACCAAAGTCCCAACTTCAAAGCCCAGACTTTGCAACGGAAATTCTCAGATTGTCGTCACATGCTTCTATGAAACTACCTCCGTCTGAGCAACTTCATGAATATTGGAAGTTGGAAGACTGCACCTCTTTCATGGGAAGGCTAGACTATTAAAAAGTCTTTTTTTTTTTTTATTTCTTTTTATGTTATAGCCTAATTGGTTTGGTGTGGTCTTCTGCTTCATTGGCATCGGCCATGCATGGTCTTGACCCTCCTAAGTCCTGACCACCTACCACCTACCCCTACCTGTCATTCTTCCTTTCCGCTCTCTGTTTGCTTCCAAGTTCACACCTTTCACAGACACCCAGGAACGACAGAGGTGTGACAGGCAGTAGTCTTGAATCTTGATTCCGCCATGTCTGATATCATTAAAGAATCTTGGGGAAAATATCTGCTACAACTGCAACTCCATCCTCTTAGAACCAAGGTATGTCCAAAATCCGAATACCCTTATTTGACTATTCTACTTCTTCTAGGTCAGACTTCAATTTGAGTCTATTGCCCTGCTTTTTCTTTCTTTTTTTCGCTTTCCTGGGAAAAACGTAATATTGTGTTACTTCACTTTATTCGAGTATTCGATGGTGTTGGGTTTGATAGCTGAACTGGGTTTTTCTTTTTCTTGTTAACTTGTTTCTAGGCAATTACTGCTGGCGTTTTAGCTGGATGTAGTGATGCAATTGCCCAGAAGATTTCTGGAGTCAAAAAGCTTCAACTAAGAAGATTACTTCTTATAATGGTATGCTTGCTATTGTTTTACTTATTATCTGATTGATATTTTGGGACCTGGATGGATCTAAAATTCTTTTTTGGGTTTCTTTTTTGTTTATTTGAGTTTATGTGTTTCTACGACTGCATCAACGGGTGATGATTTGGTGAAATTGTCTATTGTTATGTCTGCAAGGAAGTCCTAAATCATGCTATGATAATCCTCTCGTTTTCTTTTCTCTATCTCAATTTCTGCTTTGTTCTCTACCTAATAAACTTCTGCTTTATATGTTTATACGTTTTTTAACTTCTAATTGTTCTGCAGCTTTATGGGTTTGCATACTCGGGACCGTTTGGGCACTTTCTGCACAAGCTGATGGACATCATCTTCAAGGGAAAGAAGGGCAACAAAACGGTTGCTAAGAAGGTACATGGTGATGCAAAACCTTTCTTATGGTGCCAAAACGTGGTCTGGTTATTAAGTTCTGCAGTACTTATTGGGTTATTTTGATCCGGGATTTGTTCAAATTATTATATTTTTTACCTTTTCAGGTGATTTTGGAACAATTAACTTCATCTCCTTGGAACAACATGTTTTTCATGATGTACTATGGTCTTATAGTTGAAGGTATATAATTCTATGAATTGAGCTTTTGGGAATCAGCAAGTCATTGTCTTTAGTCTGTTGTTTGTCTGTCTGTCTGTAGTCTTTTCCTAAAAATAAAGTCCATCATCATCATCATCCGAGCTTTGTCCCAACTATATGGGGGCGGCTACATGGGTTCTGTTTTGCCATTCTATTCTGTTTTGTGTGTATTGGGTTGGCTTTCAAAAAAAAAGTATTGAATCACTAATCACCAATTATGGTAAAGGTGGAATAATCTGTTATTTCATATAAGTTGCCAAATTCACTTTCTAGATATAGGATAAACTATGTATTCTATTGTTATTGGATTATTTCAGCTTTGATAAATGTTTGTATTTGCAGTTTCTTGTTCTCTTCTTTTATAGCATTGGAAGAGAAATAATTTCCAAATTTCTGTTTGTTTTCTGGCCTTCAACTTTGTTAATCATCTCCCATACAATCCTTTTTGAGATATTTGTGGAAAAGTGAGACCTACCTGGCATCTGATGGAGAAATGATTTGATTTGATAATTCCATCTTATTCCCATCACAATTTTGTGTTGTTTATTTAAAATCAGGACAGAGACCACTGATCTGTGTCACTCTTAACTGTTTTATATTAGTCCTTTATTACATGTTTGTGGTTTCTATAGTCTTATATATGAGATTGCTTCAATTCTTAAATTTAGAAGACACCTTTTGTGGTTAACTAGTCAGTTGGGAGGCCAAAACAACCAGTCATCACCTCACCATGACAAGACTAAGATTCAGGTGGACACTTTCCTAGAAGTGAAATTAGCAAATGAAACTACATTCTATTCAACTCTTTATTTCAAAATGGTTTGGTTTGTTGCTCTCATTTGGATTTGTGGGTCTAAGTAGAACGTGTAGTTTTATAATCTGTTTACATTGTTTTGCTTTCTGGTGGTCTGAATTAAGCATGTCTTTTGTATTGCCAAGTTGCAACTTAGTATTTACCACCTTTGTTTATTCATGGCAAGGTCATGTAATTAAATACCATATTGACAGCTAAAACAGGCCATTTTTTGTTTTCCAGGCATTTCTCTTTCTGTTCTTTTAACATGTATCTATTTCTTCTATATCACTGGGTACTTCTGTAATATATAATTTTATGTTTATGGACAATTCGTTATATAGGCTGTATGTTATTTGTTGGAATCCTCTCAATTGAAGTAGCCAGCTACCACTTCCAGGAGTGGATTTCTGCCTCCCTTCTAATTTTAATCTTTTTTGTCAATATCAGCCATCATGAGTATACAATTTTATCCTATTCAGGTCAGGTGTCTCTTTATATGCTTTGTGCTTATTTTGACAATTTATGGAACTCCAGTCCTCGTCCAGCAAGGTATTAAATGTCTAGGCATGCAGTTTCTGTCCATAGAGAATCAACTGTTACTATCCCTATTTTTGAAGTTAAAACCTTTCAAAGAGAATCTATGGTTGCTCTATGTTAGGGTCTTTGTTGGTTGTTTCCCTTGAGACATAACTATAAGGGGGCACTCTGTTTTTGGATTTTGAGAGAGGGGAAAGTTGGTGAATGGGATTTTGATTCCCATTGACCAAGAAGCTCATGTTCATTTTTCAGATTTATGTGGGGACCAGTGAAAGTTTATTTTCCTGGGTACCACTTACCCGGGTAAGTGATACCCATCTCCTAGGTGGGTAAATTAATCTTCCCATCTAGGGGAAAGTTTCCAATACTTGGATGGGACAAAAATGCCCCTTTTAATAATAGAATTTTTATGGCTATGATTGTCATTGCCTTATTTACATGGGAAATAAAAGAACATGGATAAATGCACTTACCGGGGTAAGTCTTTCCTGGGAAACACTTGCCCAGGTAAGTGCATTTACCCGAGTAAGTGACTTACCGAAAAGCGAACGGGGCATAAGTATAAAGGAAAACTTCTCAATGGATCGATCTAAAGCCCCAGGGCCTAAGGAGGAATTATAAAGATTGTTGGGAGATTATTGGAGGTTTATGAAGATTTAGCACATTTAATTCGGGAACAAATGCGATTTTTATGACCTTGATCCTAAAGATGGATGCAATTCAACCAAAGGATTTCAAGCCTATAAGTTTAGTGGGAAGCATGTATAAAATCATTTCTAAGGTGATGGCCCTAAGAATAAAAAATGTCCTTCCTTCACTGATCTCTACAAATCAAGGGTCCTTTGTTTTTGGGAGACAAATAATAGATTAAATACTCATTTCCAATGAATGTGTAGAGTTTAGGAGAAGGAAGAAGGAAAAGGCTTATGACATGGTGGATTGAGATTTTCTTCTAGAAGTTCTCAATTGCAAGGGCTGTGGAGAAAGATGGTTTAGATGGGTGAAGGGTTTCATTTCCTCATGTCATTTTTCCATATTGGTGAATGGAGTACCTAGGGATTTTTTTTCTTGCTAAAAGGGGCCTTAGATAAGGAGATCCTCTGTCCCCCTTTCTTCTAGAAGTTCTCAATTGCAAGGGCTGTGGAGAAAGATGTTGTAGATGGGTGAAGGGTTGCATTTCCTCGTGTCATTTTTCCATATTGGTGAATGGAGTAGCTAGGGATGTTTTTCTTGCTAAAAGGGGCCTTAGATAAGGAGATCCTCTATCCCCCTTCCTTTTTACATTAGTAGCTGATGTACTAAGTGATTTGATTTTAAGGTAAATGCTAATAATTTGCTCAGAGGTTGGAGAGTTGGGAGGACGTGGTGGTCATGCATCTATAGGTTGCAGATGATATCATACGGTTTTGTGAAGGGGAAGTAGAAGAACTTTTGTATTTAAAGAGGCTAGTGAACCATATTGAGAGACTCTTCAATTTTAAGTAAACTAGGGCAAGAGTTGTGTGGTAGGAGTAAATTTAGGGAGAAGAACTGGATTTTCTAGCTAGACTTTTGGGGTGTGAAGTAGGGGACTAGCTATTACAATATTTGGGACTACTGCTAGGAGGAAATCCAAATGCAGATAGCTTCTGGTACCTAGTGATCGAAAGATTTAGCAAGATGTTTGCAAATTGGAAGAGAAATTACTTCTCTTTGGGGGGGGGAGTAGAATAACTTTAATGAAGTCAACTTTGGCCAATTTGCCAGTTTATTTCCTATCTACCTTCAAAGTACTAGTGAAAGTGGAAAACCAATTAGTGAAGGTTATGAGGGGATTTCCTGTGGAAACTGGGAGACACCAAGAAGGATCACCTAGCAACGTGGGAGGTGGTTTGGGAGCCTGGACACTTAGACAGTTGATAAGGGAAATCCTTAGTATAAATAACAAGGGAGATTGGTGTATGCTTCAAGTGGACAAGAAAGTCAGCTGATACATAATATAATCCTTGTCTGACTACAATGTGGGAAAGCAAAATAAAATGATAAAAATTGCACAGGTGATGTATCCTTTCAGCCATAAATTGTCAATTATTGAATAACAGCACATGATCAAGAAATACTGAAGACTGCGATTCTGTTTTACTGACTCAGGAGTAATTTTTTTTGGACTAATTACACTTCTATTTAGAAGTTATAGCTTCTTATTGTTAACATCTTTTTGCCATGCAGGAAGACCATGGGGCTTAGTCCAGAAAAAAGTCCAGAAGGACTATCCTCCTGTCCAGTTGACTGCATGGAAGGTATAAACTTTGGCCATTATTTTATGACATGATAAAGATATTTATGAATGGCATGGCAAAACTAACTCACTAAGACTCCTTGACTAAACTTCGCAGTTTTGGCCTATAGTAGCTTGGGTGAACTACCAGTATATGCCTTTGCAACTCCGTGTCTTGTTCCATAGCCTTGTTGCTTCATGCTGGTATTTGACCTTTTTCTTGACCTCTTTGTTCTTGCTTTTTCTTTTTGTTTTCCTGCATCTTCCAATTATTTGCTTCCACGTCTATTTCTTGCACAATCCATCTCAAAACCTGCTTTATTATTATGTGTAAATATCTTTTACATGCAATGTATTTTTCTATCATATTTGAATGCATTAGGATTTAAGCAGGATAAAAACTATTGTATTCCTTATTTGCAGTAACTTTGTAAAATGCTGGTTTGTATTCATTGATTCAATCAGGCTAATAATTTATGATTTCTGGACATGGATGCTGAATGAGGCTAATAATCCGTTATCTGTGTATGTTTTTAAGCAAATAACTAAATAAGTTCCTTTGAATATTTTCTTTATTTTAAGATTGTTAATCGTCAAAACATTTAACATTGCATGAATGTAACTAAATTAAGGGAAATTGACAATTTAAAATTAAAAAGAATGGCAAAATTTAATAACCTTCTGTTTCAATGATAAATACATAAATTAGTATAGTGGGCATGTACAAATATATAAGGATATAAGTAAATTTATAATAGGGGATTTAAATACAAAAAAATTTAAAATAAAATGCAATTGGATGCAAACGCCTATGAATATCAAATGGGATTTTTCTCTTTTCCTTGCTTTGAATTATAATATTCGAAGAGAACTTTGAACTTGTGAGCAGAAGACTTGCATCAACTCAGCCCAGTAAGACGTGATTCAGGCATATTCTTCTCTCTACTCATTCTTCAGTTCTTCCTCTTTTTTTTTTTATTGTTGCATTTTTTGATCTTTTTTTCTCCACAGTATTTCCCTCTCTTCAGTGGCATCTTTTCTCTTCTTTTTTGGTGTTTTTGTTCACAAGATGGACAAGGTGTATCCAAATGCATGTCCATATGTGTACAAAATCCGTGTTGTTGTTAGCAAGCCTTTTAAATTGAGTTGTGATGGGCGTTAGTCATTACGAGACTATACAAATACTTGTAAGCATCAAACCACTATATTAACTAATTTTTCCCTTCAGAAATTTTAGATTTCTCTATCCTATGAAGAAAAGAAGATTAGGGAAAGGTCAGACAAGCATTTAGTGGATGTCATAACTAGGAAGAAAAAAAAAACCTTATCATGATTAGTGCAGTTAGAATACAAACACATTGGTTTTTTGATATCTCATTCAAATGGAAGTGATGACAAAGAAGTGAGTTAATATTATCATCTATTGCTAGTAATATTATAATCCAGCAAATCCCTTGGAGCCTGCTTTCAGGTCACTGAAATGAAGTGACTTCATCATGGTTTTCCTTTCCACTTATAAGCACAAATTCATCATCTAAAATGGATCCATTCCTAGTTTCCAGTAATATTGCAACGGGTTCAAATGCCGTGGATTCAAATGCCATGCTAATCCATTTCACATGTATCTGAACAGTCTATTAGTTAGACTTGATTCTTGTTTTAGATATTAGTCAAGTCCAGGTAATCATTGTGAACCCTATTTTTCAATGTATTCTCAGTGGGGAGCTCCTATAGTCATCACCAATTAAATATAATAAATGGGGTATGGATTCTAGTAGATCATTTGAAGAAAAAACAAGTTTGCATATAGTGGATCATATCCAAAACTAACCCAAAGAAGAAAGGAGAGAAGGAAACCTAATTAAATAAAAGGAAATCAAGATCCAACATTTATAAGGGATGGTGCGAACTGGCTCACTTGATAAGATCTGTGGCTGGTTGTAGCAGTGACTTGGGATCAAATCCCACAGTCACCAGGGTTGGGGGAAGGGGTATGGGTAGGGGGATGGGCTACCCCCTTGTTGTATCCCTAGGTCTGGTGTTCCAAACAAAACAGCCAGGTTTTCCAACCCCTTTTGCACAGTGAGCTAGATACAAGGCATTAGATGATCTGGGGATCCCTGTGCATGTTCTATTCAAGGTAGAAGCTACTTAGGTGAGGTAATTGAGTATATCCATTACCTGATCAAAATAGGGCAGTAATTATAGATTGACTTACTATGTATCGTAAACTAAATTTTGTACTTCATTTCTACAAGTTCTCAAATATACATGTGCAAAAGTGAGACTTGTAGCAGTTCACATAACTAGCATCATGGGGTTGGGGCCATTATAGTGTTGATTTTTCAAATTTGAGAATTCCAATCAGTAAAAAGTTCTGATTCATCATTAGCATCATCCAAGTCCTAATCCCAACCATAGGGGGTCGGTTACATAAATCCTTTTTATTCCACCTCGTTCTGTTTAATGCCATATTCATTGTTAAATTATTAGCGCCTAGATCATTTCTTACTACTTCGACCCATGTCCTTTTTGGTCTACCCCTAGCCCTTCTACCACCCCTTCAACTTGCAAAAAGTTTTGATTATTTCAAAACTAGTAAGCATGAGATTCATATTACCTATATCATGGAGTTTTGAGAAAAGTCCAACATCTGGATTCAAGCCCATGCCAAATGCCATCACTTGCATTCAGTATTTTATGTTCCTTCGTCTGTGTAATGTCATATTAATGGATACTAACATGTTACTTTTTTTTCCTGCTGCTTCCAACTTTAGGGCAATATTTCTGAATCTAAAGGCAAGATCTGTTGCTATAAAGAAGGCATAGGAGGTGGATGCCCAATTTCGCTTTGGAAATTCTATTTAATTCTTGGAAAACTATTAGTATCATGTAATGCTTATATAATCTGCTTAAAGACTACAGAGAGACAAAGGTTGTTTGTTATGAGGCTAATGGAAGCTAATTTCTTAGTTCATGCTTGTGTTGTATCTTCTGTAGACGGTGCTTGTTAGGACATTCAACCAATGATGCAGTGCAGTGGGTAGGGGTGCCAATGGACCGGTTTTGGTTTGGACCTTGTCCAAATCAAAATCAATTTGGATGGACCAATAAGACATATTGAATTGGACCAGTCCAGACTTAATGGTCCAAAGTATTTATTGGATAGGATTGGACCTGGTCCATCCGTAATGAATTTATATCGGATTGGGTTGGATTGAACAAATATTTGGTCCATTGATAGAAGATAGGAATATAGGTGTCAATGGACCAGGTTTGGGTTAGAATTAATCTAAATTAAAACAATTTTTAACAGACATTGAATTGGACTGGTCCAAAATATTCATTGGATTGGACCTAGTCCATTTGTAACGGACTCGCATTGGGTTGGGCCAAATCAAGTCCAATTGACACCCCTATCAGTGGATACATAGTGTGCATTAAACTCACCATTTCATAATCCCCTATGCCTGAAAGAAACCTGATATGTTTATGGGCATCAAATAAGCTGATTTAGCTCTACATTCTTGTGAAAACAAATATCACTAAACATGGGGCAATTGTAAGTGAGATGGGATGGTCAATGTGGTCCAAGGCATGTGTTGCCACGCCTAGGGTCAAACCCTACCTTCAAACATCCTTCTAAACCCACAAGTGCACCTAGACAAAGGAAAAAAAAAAAACAAGAAAAATCAAGCAGGTACATGATTAAGATGAGTGGTTGATGGAGCAAGGCTTGTGTCTGATGAAGAAAATTAGACTAGTTAAAATGGGTTTAGCCCAAAATCTAAGCCTGATATACCAGCGAGATGACATCTGTTGGATTAGAGTGTCAAATTGATGGCTTGTGAACTATGGGTTCACGCCTGAACCACCAAGCTGGGTTGAAATCTAGATGTTGACCTGTTTCATTAATTGAATTGAATTCGGATAAGTTCAGCTAATCAGATACTGTATATTCACGTGCATAAAACTAATAAACATTTCTTAATACTCTCTCTCTCTCTCTCTCATTCTTCTTCTATTATCCGTCTTCATTATTGGCTATTATAAAAAAAAGGACAAGAGGATGTGATGTACGTGGTGGTTGATGGTTGTAATCTTTTGATATTCTCAAATGCTTGATTTGTGAGAGAGAAAATTCGAGGTTGTAGTTCTTTTCCCTTCATGGTTTTGACGTAATATCAGGCTAAAAGATGTTTTTGTGTTTCAACCAAATGGATAGCTTTCATTGTAATTAAAATCATAGATAGGATCAGGGATTTAAATATTGATATGATAAGTTCGATATGGGGCGTATTGTATCGGTATCAGTTACTAATGATACCGTCAGTCATTCGTATCGAATGAATACAGATGTGTATTGGCTTGTATCGCATTGTATCAGCCGATACACACCGATATGGAGCTGATACGCGCTGCATAATTCAGAACTTTCTATAAAAGATTGTGAATGAGGTGATTCAAACCCGAGTCACCACACACGCAATAGAATTTGCAGCGTTTCCAAACCAGTTAGTCGCGCTACATTTTGTGATATAAAGTAAAATAAAATAAATTTTATTAACGTTTTCTATTCACATGCAATTTAAACAAAACACACATTTATATTTAACGCTAACTAAAAATTAAAAAAATAATATTTAAAAATAGTATTTTATAAACTAATAGAATAAATAATGTATCAAATCCACATTTATATAAAAAAGATTATTTTTTATATCAAGAAATTTATACAAATAGAATATWAATAATAGAATAATTATTTTAATACTTAAAATTTATAAATTTGCACATGATATAAATCTTAAAATTTTTATATACTTTTATTAGTTATTAACTAATATTTTAATTTACATTAATAAGTAACAACAACACATTTATTATTTACAAAAAAAACAAAAATATTATATACAAAATATTGAAGAATATAATATTAAATTGAATCTATCAAATCCACTAATCTACATTTATTTCAAAAAATTATTTTTTATTTCATAAAATTTATATAATATAAATGTTAATAATGAAATAATTATTTTAGTAATTAAAAACTATGAATTTGTATACAATATGCATCTTAGAAATTTTAACAAATTTGATATACTTTATGTTATGATTATATTTTTATAAATTATTAATTGATATTTTAATTTGCACTTGAAAATTTAATATTTAGTTGACTTTTTCTTAATGTTAAAAATTAAAATAGTAAAATAAAAAATAATTGATATAATAATTAAAATATAATAGGTGCATATGTTTAGTGTCTTGGACTCTTGATTGATGCACTATAAATAAAATTATGCATCCCGGTTCATCAATCGTAATATATTTCTTCAAATATATCCTTAATATTTACATTTTTTATGTATTTATATACTATTTTGTGATCATTTTGATCTTAAATTTAGTGTGATTGATATATTTATGAAATTCATGTGTATTTCCCTAGTGTATTCATGTGTTTCCAAAGCGTATCTGTATCTGTATCCAAGTTGTCCAATACGATACCCGATACCGATACTTTAATCATTGGATAGGATATGATAAAAGGCTACACACCAGATACTACAGCCTCTATTATAATTTATTTGACATTAGTGCATTTCCTCTTCAACCCAAACTCTTCAATTTATGACATCCAACTTGAACCCGGTTTATGGTGGTAATTGGCTTGGTTGAATTTGGGTTTAACTTTAACATATTCATTTAAACCCGTCAACCAGTTAATGACCCATTTAAATAGAAATTGGATGGTCAACAAACCAACCCAACCCATGTTTCATGGTTCTAATTAGGGGTGGCCACGAGTCGAGCTCTTCAAGAGACACTCGTGCTCAGCTAGGCTCGGTTTCAACCGAGCTTCGAGCTGAGCTCGAGCCCAATTTACAGGTTCAATTAATAAATAAGTTGAGCTTGAATATATATATATAATAAAATTATAGAAAATAGTATATATAATAAAAATATTATAATTCTTAATTTTTAAATATCAAATAAAAATATTTTATATATATAATTTTTATTTTTATTTATAAATATAAAATAAAAATATTCTCAAGTAGAGCTCGAACCGAGCCGAGCTCGAGCTTACGAGTTTTTTACTTGAGCCGAACTTGAACTCAAGGTTCTAGCTCGAACCGAGATCGAGCTCGAGCCTTATACTTCCTAGGCAAGCTGAGCTCGAGCCTTCTACTTCTTAGGCGAGCCGAGCTCGAGCCTCATACTATTCAGCTTAGCTTTGCTCGAATCCATTCCTAGTTCTAATTCCAAAAGATCTAGTTACATGTGGATCTAATTCTACATCTTTGGTTTGAGGCAAGGTTCAAAAATACCACTACCCTTGATAAGCAATCAAGAGTTTTAAACCATCAAAACTCTTCTTTCCTTGTACTTTTTGGTTACGAAAAGTTGACAGTGGATTTTTGTACCACATCGATTAATGATAGAGGATTTTTGAAAAGTCCAAACTCTTATTTATATCATACAATACGCATCCATACGTTGAGATATTGTGAAGTAATGTGAACCTTGGTCTGAGGTTAGGGGCATGGAATGCTTGTTAAATCCTTAGTTGTAATCTATAGGAGAAATTGTTTGCTGGTTATGAAGTTAAATCAGTTCTGTTGATGTAAGTTAATCAAAGGGTCAACCCCCTATAGTTTCCTACATTTACTAAAACCTATCCTATAGTTTTTGTATTAATAAAACACCCTTTATGGTTTGCAATGACTTGATTAAATAAATCGGTGTTTGGCAAATCTTTCCATGCGGTCTTCTGGGCTTCAGCAAGCTTGAAAGACTGAAAACCAATCTTTTTCCATTTGGTATATAACTAGAAGCTAGAAAGATGAGAAGACCTGTGTATGAAAAGACCCGAAAGTGCTGAATTTTTAGAAGCTTCAAATGAAACTTTTTGGTCTTTCCGAGAGATAGATAGCCTCTAAACACATTTTTAAAAGCTGGGTAGACCAAGCCACTTACCAAACAGTCATTGTCTTTAAAGACAAGACCCCAAAAGCTCAATATGCCTTTTGGCTATCCGGGTTACTGGAAGATCTTTCTAAATATTTGTAATTAATGGATCTGTTTAGAGTTCTAAATCTATTTTTATTGGTAAATATTCAAAAAAACAGAACATTTACTTTTCTCATGAAACCAAAATCCCAAGCCCTATTCTCTCTTTCCTTCCCACTCTTTCTTTCCTTTGCAATCCTTCTCTTCCCTAGACTGAAGATCACTTTCTCTAATCCCTATTCTCTTTTATTCCAACCCTTTCTTTCCTCTGTAATCCCTTCTCTTTCTTTGGACTAAAGACCACTATTCTCTACCCCATTCCATATTCTTTCCTCGTATAAGAGAATTTTTTTTTTGGAAATTTTAGGATGGAGAACCAATGGGAAGCCATTATTTCAATACTTGGGCACAAAAGTACAGTTCAAAGGAAGTAAATCAGGCAAACTTAGGAGATTTGTCAAGAAGGTTTAATTAAGTGACTTGAATTCAAACTCAAAGGGGTTTGAGGTGGTGGTGAGCAAATCCAATTTTTCTTTGAAAACTAGGGAGGTTGTATAGGGATGAAAGAATATGTAATAAGATGGAGAACAATGGTCTCCAGTCCGATGAAAGAGAAGTGATTGCAAAGGAAAGAAAGGGTGGGAGAGAGAGAGAAAGAGAATAGGGCTTGGGTTTAGGTTTTGTGAAAGGAAAGGAAATATTTTCTTTTTTTAGTTTTGAATATTTGGCAATGGAAAAAAAAATAGAAACATTACTCTAATTGGATCCATTAATTGCAGATCTTTAGTAGTCAACAAATTTTTCTCACATGGGTATGGGGCAGGCATCTAACCCAGCATGGGTTACAAACTATAGGTAACTAGAATATCCGGAGTAGGGATGGCAATTTCCTAGTTTCCACTAGGTACCTGGCCTATTTGATCGGATTGGGGATGAAGACTACCTTGATGGAAATGG